ACAATAGATAAAAATAAATCGCTGCTTGAAGGGATTCTAAATAGTTTATTGAAAATTTTATAAAAAAGTATAAAAAAATATGAAAACGCTTAAGAAATACTTAATTCACTTTAATATTTATAAGTCAGTGCAAAAAAAAAAGTAGTTTGGGGCAAAAGCTTTTTTAACTGAAATGGTAAACTCACTGTTCATTTTTTATTATTTAAAATTATTTTTTTCACGTAAAAAACTACCTTACTTATCTTAATGACAAGCTCAATTGGTCGATTATAAATATTTTCTGATAATTAAAAAACCATTGATTGAGGCGCTTGAGAATATCCAATGAATAAATATAAGCATAGTTTGGTTAAAGTGGACAATATATGGTGCACCTAATAGCGCGCTATGCACCAAAAAGTCTTATTGGTGCACCAGTGGCACGCCATTAGGATTATAACTGCACCAGCAATCCTAATTATATGCCGCGGCTGAAGCTGAAATTTTAAATATTTTAATATGAAATTTTCGCAATTTTTTGGTGTGCATTTTTCTAGCATTTTTCTTTTTTTACAGTTAGGTTAGTATCTAGGGTTAGTTTTGATAATAAAAGAGTATTGGTGGATTTTCGTAAGGTTTATTCTACATCAATATTAATAGTAATCTTAAATTATCATTTCCAAATTTTGTAAACCCATTACTACGTAATGTTAACGTTAATGCATATAAATGTTTGTGGCCCAATTTAAACGTCGTGTAATCTTTTTTCAATGACAAACTCTAAGAAATGAAATTCTATTGAATTATTTAGTATTCAACATTGTAATTATCCTTCTTCTAGCCGTTCTACGAACAGGACTTACGCAAATCGTCGTAAATGATTCAAACTTTATTCAACCACGCATTATAGATATTAACCATTATCGGGACGGTCAAAATACTGCATCGCTCGAGAGAATTACATAGCTGGCATTAATAGATATTTTGAGAGAAGGCTATTACTTCGCGTTATTCACGAAAATGGAAGTGCTATTCCAATAGACTTTGGTTATATTGAGGAGATACAAAATATCAATTATTGCTATGTCAATTGTGCTAAAAATCCTATATGCTTTTACCCATTATTTGATCAATATATTCTAGCAACATACACTCATGCAACCAACACTTCTGATAATACAACTTCTGTGGGTAAAGGTGTGGTTATAGATTGGAGCGGGAGAAACATAATGTTTGTTAATAATGTTTAAAATGCCTAAGTAGTAATATGCAATTGATTATATATTATATATTACAGTACGCTTGATTTTGGCCCATTGTATTTGGTCCCGGGCAACACTCACTGGTAAAAAAAAAATTATATTTTAACTAAATAATAACCAGTAATATATAGTACAAATATTAACTTATTTCTAT